GGCTTCGTGCGGCACACTTGTGCTTATGCGAATAAGTGCGTGTGTGCCTGTGTGGGTGTAGGGAGCGGAGCACATAGAGACGGAGGCCACAGGGAGAGAGAACGGGTCCTAGAGACTGAGAAGGCCTGGGGTCGAGGGCAGTGGAGGAGAGGAGAGCATTGGGGGGAACAGACCTATTTTTATTGTCGGTCAGTCTCCAGGACGTGAGGGAGGGGTGTCCTCTCTCTGACATTGGCTGTCAGCTTCTGTGTAGAGGGCCCAGCATGGCCAAGGAACAATGAGGCTCTCTTCTCTCCCCTCCGCCCTGCCCCGTCTCCCCTCCCGTAGGGACAGACAAGAGAGAGGGGACATGGCTCTCTGGGCACTGAGGGGCAGATCTGGGCCTGCCAAGGGGGACAACAGTGAGACACTGTGTTCAAAGAATGTGAAAGGCCCTGACTAGCCACTGGTGCCGTGGGGCGCTCTGCGGGGGGAGGGGCTGTCCCATGAGAGTGGAATGCAGGGTCTTCCCCTTTCTGCAGAGGGAGGCTGTCCTGCAGCGCCCTAGCTCTTCGGAGGTCATCCTGGCCGCCCCCTTGCCTCTGGACAGAGCCAGTCTGGTGGCAGTGGACAGGAGACTTGAGGAGGTGAGACGGCTCTCAGATGTCTAGCTGCCTCGTGCGAGGGTCTCCCGTCCTCACCGATGGGAAGCTCCTCCCACAGTGCAGCCTCCCCTCTGGGCATCACAGATGTCTGCACTGAACATGGAGGGTGTCCTGGGCACACCGGAGAGAATGTTCTCTGTGCTTCTGGGAGATTCAGGGCCTCAAATTGAAACAGACCCACTTTTCAAGGGCAGACATCAGATCCCACACAGGGAAACTGGCCACCCCTCGCCGAGGCTCAGGGATCTGCCGGCAGGAGGCTGTGGGGCTGGGCGAGCCGGAACCGAGAGCGGCCCTAATGCATTTCTGTTAACCTTGACGCTGAACTTAGCTCCAAACCCCAAGAGCCTTTCCCGAATGGGCCTCCTTTGTCACAATTATTATTAGAAAATCAATGGCTACGTCTGTTTCTCTCTAATGTTTTTGCCAGGAACAAAACGAGCAGTAGTTATGGACCAAGCTGCCCAGGAACCTGAGGGGAAGGGGGCTTGGTGGAGGTGGGAAAAGCATGGCCAAGGGCAGCATTGCTCACAGGCATGGTGGGAGGTGCAGGAGGCTTTTCTGAGGGTTGGGGACAGGATTTGCTCTAGGGTCCCCATAAGCTGCTCAGTCCTCTTAGAGCCATGCTCCATCTTTCATCTGGCCTCTGGCTGAGACAATGTGACCCCCCTCCAGACCCCCCCCCCTCCCGGTTTTCTATTCTGAAAGTCAGGGCACTTCAAGGCGAGGGGCTTATGTACTTTAAGTTGTTTGTAAGTCCAGATCATGGTCTCCATTTGGACTCTTTTTTTCTCAGTTGAGATGGCAGGCGGGCTGCCTCTGAATAATAAATAGCCCAAAGTAGAGACTTGAAACACCACCGAGTACCTTCTGCGTTTATAAATGCGTGCCAGTCCAGCTGCTCTCCAGACAGGGCCTCCAATTATGCGAGAGTGTGAGTGCGTGTCTTGCAGTGTGTGTGTGTGTGTGTGTGTGTGTGTGTGTGTGTGTGTCCGTCCCTGGACTTGGCAGCTGGCAGCTTGTTCTTCATGACAAGTAGGAATGCTTCCCAGCATGTGTGCCTCATGGCAGCCTTAGTGGCTGTGCCAGGCGGGAGCTGGGAGGCCGCCCAGGGCGTGCAGACCCCACTGTGGAAGGTAGATGATGATTCAGTCTGAATGAGGGTGATTTCTGCTTGGCTGCATTGGCGCATTCCCAGGGACCAGCAGTATGTGCATGTGCGTGTACGTGTGTGTGTGCACATGTGCCATGGGACAGTGTTTCCAAGTGTGCTGCCATGAGGCTGGTCCACCCAAGGTTCCAGTCCCATGTGACTTTTGGTAAGTCCCAGCACCTCCCCTCCCCTCACTTGATCTTGGGTAGTGGTGAAGACAGGGCTGAGACTCTCCTGGCACAAGATAATCAGGACTAAGAGCCCATCCTCAGGCTGGGTCTTGGCCTCTGGGACCCAGGAAGTAAGTTTTCTAGGATTCTGGAGCCAGCTCAGTGAAGCAATGGGTTCTGTGCCTCAGCCCAGCTGTGGGAGGAGTGGGAAGGAAGGAAGGTGGGGTTAACAACATCCCCAGGCCTGTGCAATGGAAGAAAGTACAGAAAAGCAGATGGAGCGCATGGCTCCGGCTCTTTGTCTGCTGTTCTGCCAGGAGGAGCAGGGAGGGAACCCGGGCCATCTTTGAGGCAAGAAAAGTTGTGGGTAGCTAAGGAGCCAGCATAAGGGAAGTTGGTAAGAAGTTTCAGAGGTGCAATGGATAAAGTTGGGGAACCCCAGAGAAGGCCAGCAATATTCCAGGGGCCAGCTGGCGTTGGGAACTTTAGTCATGTCTTTGTTTCTTTTTGGGAGCATCATTTGCAAGATGATGCATTATTCACTCTTTATAAAAGTTCTTCCCCACGGGCCTGATGTTGCTTGTTGGTTGATCAGTCGCCTTGGAGACTGTCTGTCCTCCCTCCACCTTCCCTCATTTGCCTGGAAGCTCTGGCCCTCTGCCTCCAGGCCTTGGAAAGAGTTGACATCTGTTTCTTGTATCAGTCTTTTGTGCTCTGGGCCCCAACTCTGTGCGGAGTAGATTCCTGGTGAAGGCCAGCCCAATGTAAGCAGGTCCCCCACCCTGCAGAGGAACCCGGGGTGTGGGCAGAGGGAGGCTGGGGGAGGTGCAGAGGGGAGGCAGGCCCAGCTCCAGCATGGCCCCTGAGCTTGCACTGTTTTCTCTGGGGAAATTCGGCCTGATCAATCCTTTCTCTCACAATATGCTCATTGCTCTCTCTGCCCTACCATTCCTCCCAGGGGTGCAGGCTCGGGAGAAGCAGCCTGCAGAGCCCCCGGCCCCTCTCCGGAGGCGGGCGGCCAGTGATGGACAGTATGAGAACCAGTCTTCAGAACCCTCATCTCCCCGGAGCCCTGGGGTTCGCTCCCCTGTCCAGTGCGTCTCCCCAGAGCTGGCTCTCACCATCGCTCTTAATCCTGGAGGACGGCCCAAAGAGGTGAGTCCTCTGGTGCATTATGGGACTCTGGTGCATCGTGGGGCCACAGCGGGTAGCAGAGCCCACTCGAACTCTCCAGGACCCCGATGGTCAGCTGGGTGGCACTGACTTGTCATTAACCCAGTAAGTTTTCCTCCTTGCATTCTCACCCTAGGGCTCTGGCATGGGGAAATCTGGAGCCCATTTCCTCCCCTAAATGGCTTTTATGCCCCCACATCTTCCATTAACACCGAGACCGAGTTCCCTTCTTGACCCCTAAAGCGTGCGCCTGAGTAGGGCGGTAAGAATCCTGGGTATGACAAGGGGACCACAGTCCCTTCGCTCCAAACCAGATCATACAGACTGACAAAGAGTTTTTGAGCTCTTTCTAGATGAAGGGTTTTATCCAGAGGTCTAATTTCAATGCCAAATATTTACATTTCTGAGACATTTCAGTAGTTTGAGACAGTAGGTTTTAAACTTCAGCCTACATAGCAATCACTGGGGAATTTGTTAACATGTTGATTCTCAAATCTACCTCTGGAGATTCCAGCATGTTAGCACTGGGGCAAGGCCCAGGAATCGGCATTCAAAACACACATCTTGGAAGATTCTGATGCGAGTCGTCCATGTCTGATAAAATCCAGTCTGAGTCATTCTGGACGTGAATGGCTTTTGGATACATCTTTTCTTTCCTGTCTTCTACTGGCACCTGCATCCTCTGTCCCTAGACCCTTCTCTTTGCCTCTTCTGCAAATAGGCATTTTTTTCATTCTCTGTGCAACAGGGAGTTGTTGGGGCTGTGAATAGAAAGGATCGTCCTTTGACCTCTGTGTTTGCCTGGGGAGGGTAGGTGGTCAGGCTGGCGAGGGGCTTTGTGGGCTGGTTAATTGGAAAATGCTTTTTTCTCAAGGTCATGGCCACCAGTGTATCTCCCCCCACTCCCTCTGTTCTTCTTCTGCAGCCCCATCTGCACAGCTACAAGGAGGCTTTTGAGGAGATGGAGGGAACCTCTCCGACCAGCCCACCGCCCAGTGGGGGTAAGAGCTTTCTGCTAAACCCCGTCTTCCCTGGGTCCCCTTAGGCCCCTGTCTCAACCCCTGCCTGTGTAAGCACCCCAGGTCTGGGGTGGGGGCTGCTGGCCAAGTTGGTAGAGCCGGAATCTGCCCCTGCTCATCCCTATGGCTCATTTCACTCCACCTTTCCTCCCCACTTCTCTTCCCTGCGCACTCACACACCTGAGGATGCAACAGGTGAAGGCTTAGGATCCGACCGACAGACTAGGGAGCCCCCGAGCTCCCACAGTGTGCGGTTTTCCCAGTTTTGTGAGTCTTTGCATCCTGTGTACAAAACATCTCCTATCTTAGAGTGACTCTTTGTGATTTGCCAGTGTGTCTCTGAGACAACCCCTTGAGCTTCTTGCTTCTGACTCCCATTTAGTTTCTACCAAGGAAATAAAGGCCCAGAATGTTCAGGCTGACTGAGGCCGTTGGCTTCAGCCATCCTTGGCCTACAGGCTGGAGCGTTTCGTTTGGGCCCCGGATGTGCTCACTGAAGAGTCAAATTCCCAAAGCACAGAGGTACCTCCACCCCAAGAGAAGACCCAGATGAGCACAGAAGTGGGACAGTATCCCCTTTTTATGGTAGAAGAGCCGCGAAGAGCGGCTGGAGGAGGCTCTTGCGGGAAAGTGGTAATGCAGCTGTCCCGGGCTGTGGAGGACTCGGGGTTCCCTTGAGAAGCCCGAGTCAGCAGAGATGGGAGAGACTGGTGTTGCTCCGGGGTTGAGTTGGCCAGGCCTGGCCCAGCTCTGCATTCCCCCCGTGAGAGGGGAGGAGGGTGAGGACGAGAGAGCCGGAGCCGGCCGTGCATTCTCCTGGTGGCTGGCTGTCCTGCGGAAGGAGGAATGTGGCACCAGGACCTGGCCTTACACCAGCAGAACTTGTGTTGGCTGCCATCTTGGGCATGCACGAGGTTGGAGTTGTGACCGAAAGCCATGGTTCTCTCTAGGGTCGTGCTGTCCAAAGGAAATAGATCACAAGCCACGTTTGTGATTTGAAATTTTTTTTAATAGCCACATTAAAAACATAACGGGACTTCTCAGTGCCTTAACCCTGTCTCTCACTGTCCCTCTCACTCTGCCTCTGAGAGGAGGCCACGCTCTGTCTGCGGAGTGTCACCCCTTTTCTAATAAACTCTTCTTTTGACTCTAAAAACAAACAAACAAAAAAACGTAACAGGACACTGGAGAAATTAAATTTAAGGATTTTTTTAACTGAACCCGAGATATCCGAAATAGCGTCATTTCAATAGGTAAATCAATATAAAAATATTAATGAGATGTTTTTCAATCTTTTAAAAAATGTGAAAAGAAACTGGTGAAATTCATTTTCACAGTAGGTTATATTGAACTCCAAAGATCTAAAATATTATCATTTCAACATGTAAAGATACATTGAGATATTTTGTTTCACATGAATCTTTGAAATCTGGTATGTGTGTTACACTTACAGCTCTCTGTGCAGACTGGCCACAATGCAGGCGCTTGATAGCCCCGTGTGGCTTATGGCTACCATGCTAGACAGCAACCCCTGGGCAATTTGCTCAAGAGACAACACCGTGGCCTTTTATGAGTCTGTGGAATCTCTCTCCCTGGTCTTACCCTTCACCTTCACACCTGCTCCGATTCTGTCAGTCTAAACAGCCAGGATCTTGGCCATTACCCTGTCTGGGACAGAAGCCATGTGGGCTGAGCTTGGATTGGGTTTTGCCACTTTCCTGTCCCCATTCTTCTCTCTCTCTCCTTGGCCAGCCCGGGGTGACCCAGTGGGGAGGATAAATCAGAGGTTTCATCCATGCACAGGGCTGGGAGAGAGGACAGAGGCGGAGAAATGCAAAGAATTCTCTCGGGAAGCAAAAGCCTTGCCTGGCTTCAGGGCTACCCACTCGTCTGCCTCAGCAGAAGGGCCAGATCCTGGTGATTGGGGGCCTAAGCAAGTAGGGGGCTGGAGGTGCATGAGAGGAAGCAAGAAAAACCTCCCACACTTGAGGGCTGGAGAGCCTTCGTGGTCATTCCACGGACAGTCGCCTCTGAGCTAGGCTCATTCTTCCATAATTAATTACATTCAAATTCATCTATCTGACGAACATTAATAAGTGCTTGATAAGTGTCTATTGTAAGAACCTCAGTACATGTGTAAAAAGAGAGGATGGACAGAGATATGTAGGCCTAGACCAGCCCCATGCCTCGATGTGTGTATTTGTACAGTTGTCCCCTCTGCTGTATTCTTCTGCTGGGCATCTAAGGATGTAGCGGGGGTGAGTGCAAGACTGGGCCACCCACTGGACCCCTGTGATGTCTCATCATTCCCACGGACGCCTATGCACATACCTGCACATGCGCAAATAAGTTATATGCATTACTTACATTGAGAGATTGTATTTTTTGTTAGTTTCCTTTAGATCTCACTGTCTTTTGGGGAAGGGAAGCAGGGCCAGGGAGGGTACTGGAGCTGCTGTGTAGGTCCTGGACAGCTGAGGGCTGCAGCTCATCTGTTGAAGCTGATGGCAAGGGCCAGGCAGCCTCAGACTCTGGCAGATACACAGATCTGTGTGTCCTCAGGACCCGTGACCTCTGCAGGCTCCAGATGGCCATGATAGGAGATACAGAGCTCATTTCTTTACTTTTCCTCGGAGGTACGTTAGGAGATGTGGCAGCTGCCACCAAGTAATCTCGTGACTGGGCATAACAACCTCTTTGTAGATTAGCTCAGAGTCTGGCCTCATCCTTGGCTGGTGGGACAAAGCCTGACAGCCCTTCCTGACCTGTGTGTTATGTGACACTTCTAACCTGGACAGGCGGCTTGGGAGGGATTTGTGGTTTGCGCAGGGAATTGGTGCTCTTGGCGGAGGCTTGTGGAGATGGGGCTTTTCTCTCTTCTAGAACCCTGAGGTTTGGCGGGCATAGAGAGCTCCATGCCGAGAAACGTTCTCTTTCTGGTTTTTGCAAGGGACTCATTTGGCTGGGGGTCAAAGATCTTAGCTTGGGATCCAGGTTGGGATGGTTTCGCTGGTGATCCCTTCTCTCCCATCTGTCCTTTATAGGATGTGCCTTCCAGATGCTCCATTTTCTTTGGTTCTCGTCTAGGCCGTCTAAGCGCCTTGTTTAGAAAGACTATATATGTGTGGGGGTTCGGTTAGATGAGGGAGGGAGAAGCAGAGGGAAGAGATAATCACGTAGAGAGAGTCTGAGATAGCCAAGGAAACCTGCATGGCAGTTGTAAACCATGGCAGGTACGGGGACCTTAGCAAAGAAATGAAAGCC